AGAAGGAGAAAATCTCGCTTAACGTTAAACCTTTCCCCTCTGGCTCTCTAAACGCAGTTAATTTATCAATCTAGTGTTGGAAGTAGAAAAATATGACAATACAAACATACAGAATAATTACCTAAACAATAATGTACAAAATCAAAAACTAATTTACTGTAGTAGTCACCAGCCTTTATTATTTATGACAGTCGGTTATCATAATAGCTAAAATAATTAAAAACGTATACACTCCATATAGGTACATTTAAAATTCAATTTCAAAACAATTTTGGAATCTTTTTCATTTATAAGCCGTGTCAGCTAATAATGTGAAGGTTAATTATATTAAGAGATTATGAATCTCATAACATTTTAGCCTTGATTATTTCAAATTACACGTAATACACACAATTCCTTTAAGTTCGAGAGCGCAGTGAGTATAAGTTTATCTCTGGCGCTGCGGACCACGGGTGCGAATCCCGCACGGTATAACGATTTATCCGGCCTACAAGTATTATATTGTATAATTTTCCCGGGTTTGGATATTTTTCTAATTTCAACTATGTTTATAAACTCGATTATAATAATATAATAACAAAAGAAACGGCTAGAGGGTAACGTTTAATAAAAACGTAAAACCTCAAATAGGACGGACGCTTCAGCAGCTATTATGCAATAAAGATTTTGAATTTATTTTGAACACAACTTATTTCAGTTCCGGAGTTTGGTAAAATGTGTGCAAATGTGAAACAGCTACACAGAGGCGTGCGACTTTGTCATAGTCGCCAGTGAACAATTCAGCGGACCAGTGCGTCCTAAATTCTAAGGCGAAGAACTTTTCAAAGGTAAATTATTTGAATTTCAGCTATCTGACTTTCATCATTATTACATTTCACAAGTCCACTGCTGAACATAGGTCTCCCCAAGGAATGCCCCAAAGTGTGGTCCTGAGCCACCTGCATTCATCGACTTTCCTGCACGTCTTACTTGGTCGTCACTCTATCACGAGGGGGGGGGAGGACCCCATTCCCTACTGGATATGAGCTACTTTCTTCTCGTCTGTTCTTGAGCTATATGGTCGGCCCATTGTCATTCAGCTTACTAATCCGTTAGGTTATGTCGCTTACTTTGGTTCTACTGCGGATATCCCCATTTATAAGTTTATCACTATAGAAAATCCAATAGCCCTCTCCATAGTTCGACTTATTACCTAGTCGGACTATTTGTCTAGGTAAACATACCGTCAACAACTACTAGTTTAGTACTCCCAACAACTACCGGTATAGGTGTGACTTGGACGTTACACATGATCTTTGTTTCGTCCATGTTCGTCTTAAGATGAATAAGCCGTTGGGAGGCACTATTGAGGTCATTGAGCATAGTGATTAGGTCTTTCAGCGATTCTGCCGTAAGGATTATTATATCGTCGGCAAATTGATGGTGAGTGATGTACTCGCCATTGATGATAATATCATATCCTTTCCAGTCCAGTAGCTTTTGCTTGTCTTCAAAACAGCGAGGCCCCGGGCGAGGATGGAATTACAGCGGAGTTTCTGATAGCAGGTGGAAAACCAGTACATGGAAAACAAGTCCTTCAGAAGCTCTTTGATTCCATCCTCCACTACTCTGGAGGCATGAAGCAGAAGTGCATTGGTTTTGTTCTTCAAGAAAACTGACAACGCTCTCTTGAAGAACTGCAGACCGATTTCCCTTCTGAGCCGCGCCTACGTGCTGTTTTCGAGATTACGAATCGACTCGCATGCAAACCTGACGACTTCAGCCTACCGAACAAGCCGGTTTGCGAAAAGGCTTTTGCACCATGGCCTTCGGCTCTTCGGAAAATTGTACAGAAGACTGAAGAGTACAATCTGCCACTTTGTTTTGCATATTATGGGGACTAGAAGAAAGCTTTTGACTCCGCTGAAATTTGGTCGGTGCCTTTATCTTTGTTTCCATAGTAAAGTAAAGTAAAGTTACAGCCTATATACGTCCCACTGCTGGGCACAGGCCTCCCCTCATTTCTGAGAGGTTTTTAGGGCAAGGAAGTGTCCGCCACGCTGCCCCAATGCGTGTTGGCGAACTTCACATGTCTTCGAAATATTTTTTCATTAGTCCTCAGACATGCAGGTTTCCTCACGAAGTTTTCCTTCACCGCCGAGCACGTGGTAAATCAGTACTTAAAATTGCATTTAACAATTTCATTGGTGCCGGCGGGGATCGAACCCGGGTTACTCGCGTTCTGTTATATTTACAGCGCGCGTTAACCATTGTTTCCATGCAATTCAGTAATTAATAACGGTCTCGAATAACTATGTAGTTAGTTTAGACGCGGTGGAAATTACTATGTAACCACAAAAGATATAAATTATTGTATACGTTTATCGTTATTAAAAGTAATGTATGTTGTAGAGCCATTCTGCAGCTGTACTATGGTTAATGAGTCAGCTCAACCAGAGAAGGACCACGCTCTCACAGAATACCTGCGTAAAATAACAGCTACTGTGTTTCGTATGGTGAATGTAGAGATCCGGATACCTTTTTAACTAGAAACGAGGCATTCCATCTCAGTCCTCAGGGATGACAGTGAACCTGCATTCTTAATCGAGGATAGATGTAGACGTCTATGGATCACAGCATCCATTTACGCAGTGAAAATACGCACTAGATAAAGTTACGAACTAGTGAAATATATTTTACATGAAGCTGCAGTGACAAACGAGTCCAAAGTCTAAGTGAGAATAAGTGCCTGCTGAGCTCATGACACATGCAATGAATTTTAAAAAAAGGTTACAAATGCGTTGTCTCTTTTGACGACTAAGATCAAATGTCTCACAGCCTGAAAGTTTACTGGCTCTCTATACCCTGCACAACCGGAACGCAGCAGGCAAGCGCTGCCGTTTGTCCAAAAATAATACGTCAATAAATACAGGCGCCGTGGTAGTTTAGATGGTTTACGCTCGCTGAAAATATAACAGAACGCGAGTAACCCGGGTTCGATCCCCGCCGGCACCAATGAAATTGTTAAATGCAATTCTGAGTGCTGATTTACCACGTGCTCGGCGGTGAAGGAAAATATCGTGAGGAAACCTGCATGTCTGAGGAATAAGAAAAAAATATTTCGAGGACATGTGAAGTTCGCCAACACGCATTGGGGCAGCGCGGCGGACACTTCCTTGCCCTAAAACCCCCTCAGAAATGAGGGGAGGCCTGTTCCCAGCAGTGGGACGTATATATCTTCGTGTATAGGCTGTAACTTTACTTTTTTTACTTTAAATACAGGCGATTAACACATTGTGCTTTGTGGCAAGTTTGAGTTATAGGCCTATTTTTCGTATTGTACTTGTAATTGATGGTAATGATGTTGATTATAAATCTGCTTTAATCTTTCCATACTGATAACGGCTTAAAGCCGAACTTTGAAATGCAGACCTAAGTTTAGCTGCCTACATTTAGGTGTAGCCAAATGTGGTTCGTCAGACTTAGGTGTATTCGAATTCGATTTATTCATGGTGTAATGTCTTATATCAATACCTACTGTCGCTAATATTACTTGATAATGTGATATCCGGCTGAAACCCGGCCACACCTATTTTTAACCATGAATAAATAATTTTTGAACCTTATCATTAAGCTGAGTGCCTGTTATCTTCATTACTCTAAACCTTCAGATATGCCACTTTTTATATTACAGGAAATATAATTCATAGTCACGATTACAAAGACGTGGAAACGTTTAGAGACCGTAAAGTTTTAATAGTGGGCGCAGGCGCCTCTGGGTAAAATCTCGCCACACAATTAGTGGATGTCACCACCAAACCAATGCACAGCCACCACCTCGTCTACAACCAGCCAAACTTCCCAAGCAAGTATGTTAAGAAGCCTGACATTGAATCGTTCACTTCCGACGGCGTTGTATTTCAAGATGGTTCATTGAGAATGTAGAAGATGTCATATTATGTACAGGTGCGTAATATCCTCTACAGATATAAATTCAAAGATTGAGACATTTCAGAAACACAAAAATCTTATTCGCCTCTTATACCACCCATGCGACGATATGGGTATTCTTACACCGCACTACGCAATCTGTGAAATGTGGTTCAGCGTTTTTGAATGGATCCGCGGATCCGATGATGGCGAATAAGGAAACAATTACAAACAATACAATTATCCGTCAATCAGTAGTGTATCGCATGCAGGTTTAAATTGGACAAAAGTTGAACATGAACAAAGGTTTTATTTGTGCCCATAAGAACTCTTAACAAAACTAGCGCCATCGTGGCGATGATGACCATAGTTGCATATAGTGTTCACTGTAATTGTACGACTAAGTATTGTTAGTGATATTGACTGCCTCGTTAGTCTAGTGGTTGTAGTAGTGCGACTGCTGATCATGAGGTCCTGGGTTCGAATCCCGGGTCGGGCCAAAAAATCAATTATTGAGTTTTTCTATCAATAAATTCTCAGTAGCTGCCCGGATTCAAGAAGTTGGCGGTGTCTTAACCCCGTGTCTCGGAAAGCACATAAAGCCGTTGGTTTTGCGCCTGATCTCTCTTCCGGTCGTGTCGGTTTACCGTCCCATCGGATTATGAGAGTGAGGGAATAGAGAGTGCACCTGTACTTGCGCATGCACTTGGGCACTATAATCCTGTCCTGCGTCGATGGCTAGCCTCCGTTGAGGCAGGCCGCCGTGGCTGAAATTCGGTCTGGAGGACATTATTACTACTATTATTGGTGGTACTTAATCGAAAAAGCATATATCCCAAAACCTCACGCAATTAACAATAATATGTTGTTGGTTTTATTCGCTAGACTAACGGCTAGACAGTAGTTTGATAACACGATAAAAATATAACCGTCAACGCGATATTTCGCTTCGTAATGGGCGCTAACTTTAAATGCGTAGTGTAGAAGTGCAAAAAACACGATGTATATTTACTTCGATTTATGAAAGAAGACCATAAAATTTACTTCTAAGCTATGTGAGAATATGTATCTATTTATAACAATAATAAACTATGTTGCCAGGTTATGAATACATCCATTCATTTTTGGACGAGAGCACTGGTTTAACGGTATCTAGCAAGTTCGTGCTACCTTTGTACCAGCACATTGTCAACGTAAGGCATCCTAACATGGCTTTCCTTGGCGTTGTTAAGCAAGTTATTACCAGAGTGATGGATGCACAGGTAAATAATAACAACAATTATAATTTCAACAACTTTATTTTTTAAGTGAATACTTCTGTACAAATCTTGTGATTTGAAACAAGATAAAACAAAAAAGGCGACGATAAAAAGAGACAAATATTTATACATACAGAATTTAGCCTACGAGAAAATGAGACAGAATAATATAGTGTAGATAGACCACGAACTCAAAAGGTTGTGGATTTAAATCCGCCATTCGACTACTACTTTTTGTGTCTTATTTAGAAAAACCTTTTGCTAGTATTTTTTTATATACTGTGTTACCTATTATTTCGGTCTCCTCTTTGTGCGGTTCTTTAAGTCCTCTAGTCGATTTCGAATTGTAGGAATATTGAATCAGAGAATATATAATATATGAACATCTACGACAGATTAATGCTTCGTCGCTACAATAACGTAATTACACAAGAAGTTTCATTAAAAACCATTGATATAAATGACAAGATAAAGATATGGCCGTGGGAACAAAAATTGTTCACGGTTTAAGCATAGAATAAATCAGCGCCATCTCTTAAATAGTCACGAACTACCACGGAACCAGTGTTTTCACTTATGATATTGGTTTTACACTAGAACCTGTAAAAATTTACAACATCATTGCACAATTTGTATATCATTTCACGATTAAAATACTTGAGTTTTGTGAACAAGATAACGTTCTAATTTTCAAATTATAATAATACTTAGTTTCTTTTTATAGGAGAGGGGTCAAACGAGTATACGGCTTGCCTGATTGTATGTGATTACCGTCGCCCATGAACAACTGCAACACCAGGGGAAATGCAATTGCGTTGCCGGCCTTTTAAACACGAGTAGGCTCTTTTCTTGAAGGTCCCTAGGTCGTATCGGTCCGGAAAAATCTCTGGTGGTAGTCGATTCCACAAGGAAGTTGTGCGAGGAAGAAAACTACTTTTAAATCGCACAGTGATGTAACGCCAGTCATCCAGATGGTAAGGATGATATCCCAATTTTTGTCGCGATGTGAGATGGTGCAATTGTGCGCATGGATTTAGTCCGAACAATTCCTCAGAGCACTCCTTGTGGTAGATGAAGATGCAACATCTCTTCGCAGTGCCAGTGAGTCAAGCCAATCAAAAAGAGCTCGGTCGCCGACGATTCGAACTGCTCTGCGCTGGATGTGATCAAATGGAAGCAGCTGGCACTGAGGAGCCCCCACCAAGAGATGGAAATAGTATTCAATGTGCGGCCAAACCTGTGCCTTGTAAAGTTGCAGGCGGTGAGTCGGCATGAAATACTGTCCCGCTCTGCTGAGCACGCCAAGCATTTTAGAGGCCAATTTGGTGGTCTCTTCCAAGTTACCACGAAACTGCACGTCACTCGATATGTCAATGCCGAAGATTCCGATGCTGGCAACAAGTGGAGTGCCGTGAAACTGAGGAGATACGACGAAGGGGTTCTTTTTAGCGGTAAACGCGCAAAATTGTGTCTTCAAGGGATAAACTGAACTAGATCTAGTCGCCCCCATTCTGAGACTGTATAACAAAGTCTCGACTTCAGAAACAAGTTTTTACCGGTACTCGGCGACGTTTACCGAGAAATATTGGCACGGCCGGAGTATAAAGCATCACCAGTGCTGTCGTCTGCATAGCAATTAATGTTATCGGTTTGCAACATGTCATTGATATGCATAAGAAATAGCGTTGGTGATAGCACACAACCTTATGGAACACCAGTGTTAATGGATTTGTAATCGGAGCTTGCATCGTCTACTACGACCTTGATGCTTCGATCTGCAAAATAACTGGTGATCCAATTGCATAATTTCTCGGAAAGCCCATAGGAAGGGAGCTTCGTTAGAAGCGCTTTGTGTCAAACCCGATCAAAGGCCTTGGCTATGTGCAAACTAACGGCCATCGCCTCCCCCTTGGACTCTACTACCTCCGCCCATTTATAACCCAGAAGGTCACCAGCCGTGGGACCACGATGGAAACCGTACTGGCTATCACTAATCAGCTGGTGATCCTCAAGGTACCGCATGAACTGGCTGTTAATAATGGACTCCATTATTCTAGAGAACAAGGAGGTGATGGCGATAGGCCTATAGTTGGATGGATCAGAGCAGTAACCTTTTTTAGGAATCGGGTGCACGAAGGCTGTCTTCCATGATTTCAGGACTACGCCTAGGGAGTAGTAGTATCGGAAAAGATGCGTTAAAACCGATGCTAACTCCGGAGCACACGTCTTCACCACAATAGGAGGGACGTCATCAGGTGCACGCTCGACTTGTTGACGTCCAGGGTGAGGAGTGTTCTGCGCACCGAGCGTTGGGTAAATAGCACATCTAACATGGAGCACTCTCACCAGGATGGTCGGCTGTGTGTTCCCCCGTCATCAGGAGTCGAGTTGGACGCATAGAGAGAGTAGCAGATTAGTTTTGTCCTTTGCGGCATGAGCAAATGAGTCGTCCTCCCTGTGCAGAGATGGGAGAGATAAGCTTAGTCTCATATAAGTAACGAATATGTAACTAAGTAAAAATATGGCATTATTCTATTCTGTTTATTATATTATTTATTAAAGAAAAACTTTTTCATTCTACACTTTTTTAGCTCTTTTGACCCTATCCCCTTCGATAAATCTTTAAAAAAATACATTGGGTGGGAATAAAAATCAGGGTTACATGAAGTTCGGTTTTACCCCATATTATCCAAAACCCTGTAAACTTGAAGAAACGCCTAAAGACCTACCTATATAAGTAGATTTACCTAAAATAGTGGAAAATATCTAAAAGTGGAAACACTGCACGGACGCGTCGTGGTAGCATGTTCTCTAACCTCCATGGTATGGAGTGTAGAGCTAAGGAGTACAGACTGTATAAAAAGTGTCCGTAGGAAAGCGTTAAATAAGGGTGGCACCACAGTATTTACAGTCCAAATTTTAAAGAACTTTTTATAATTTTTTATTGCACATACTCACCATAATTCTTTTTAAAATAATTGTTTTATTGCTTTCAAAATTTTTATTTTCAAAATCACTCTCAACGTATTTTACGGCGATTTAACCTACCTCGTAGCTACTCGGGCGTTGTATGATTTTGGTTTTTCACTCAATACTTCATGGCATTGGTGCTCCACAAACATTTTAGGTATGGAGTGTAGAAGTAAGGAGTACCAACTCCCATAGTAGAATAGTTGAAAAAGTGGCAATCTGTAAGCAGTAAATAACAGTTCAAAAACTCTCCTCAACAGCGCTGGAGTAGCTACTGGTATGAAATGAACTTAGCAGGTGTCGACGGTTTGAAGTGAGGTGCTAAACTGCTCAGTAGCTCTAAAATCTAAAATAATTTTATTTAGTAAATATAACCTCGAAAAAGTCGTCTATCCCACTAATATTTTTCGGCACGTTCTTTAAAATTTAGCCCGTAGCTATAGTGCCGCCAACGTTATTTAACGGTTTTCTATTGACACTTTTTATACAGTCTGTACTCCTTACTTCTACACTCAATAATTTTAGGAATAATGAATCGGTGCCATTTTGTTTCTTCAATGACCCGGTCCATACGCATTAGTATAATAAGTCTATGTTTAAAGCATATATTTTTGATAAATCGTTTTCGTTTGTCTATAGTATAAAATTGAGCAGTTATGAAAATTGTAGCAAGAAAAAAAATAGAATTATATTAGTATCTATAATCTTGAGTAGGTATTTTATGTTTTTTTTAGATTCATATATATTTGAAATTGCATAATTATTAGAATGCATAACATTATCGTTAATATTGTTGCTTAAGCTCTCTATAAATATGTTTAATATAAGTTTTAACTGTTAAAATAACATAAAAATATAATAAACTTATTAAATAAATAAAGGAGACGGTTCAATTCAGGCCCAGTATATGTACACTATACAGTAAAAAGCGAAAAATTCAGGGACTTTATTAAAAATAAAATAAGAAAATAAATCAAACTAAATGACTTGCTAAAAATAAAAATGCAATCCCAATTTTTGATGATTTTACAAGATGGCGCCCTTCCAGTCATAAAATTATATGTCAAATGTCATGTCTGTTGACACAGATCACAATGGGTGCGTTTGGCAGAAAAAAGCGCTAGCAAGCGCTTACAAGCGCTAAAATAGTTTTCGGCCAGGACACGATTACTACTTCAGTAGCGCTGACACAATCCGCCATTTTGCTTATTTAATTTGTTTGTTTTGAAGTAGAGTTTATAAGTTGTTTTGTGCAATATTAGTTTTAAGTAATATAATGACATGAATAGACATATACATGTTATTAAAAATTCATGATTGGTAAGTTTTTAATATGAATACTTTACAAACATATATTTAAATTAGGTTAGATTCCCCGGTTAAAACTAACATCGTGTCCTGGAGGAAAATAGCTACTTACGATTTGACAGCGCTTACCGCTTACGATCGCCATTTTGCTTACAAGCGCTTGCTAGCGCTTTTTTCTGCCAAACGCACCCAATGTCACAAGTTCCTTGAGTCGTGAAATTATGTAGGTAGTGTGATTTTTTTTTGCTTATTCCGAGCTCCTGGATTGCATTGATATTGATATGCAAATATCAACAAGAACGTTACTTGTTCCAAGACCAAAATAGCATTATCCCCAAGTTTCGAGACATTTTAGCCATTATATATAATAAATCTACCTGATAGGCTGTCAGTGATAAGAATAACACAGCATTTCAGAATTCAAATATCTGTCATTAAACCTCATGACAGTTGACAGCTAACGTCAAAACAATTTTGAGTAGAGAAAAAAGAAAGGACATGACATACCTACGAAAAAAACGTATATACCTAAACTGAGTCTGGCACAAAGATGGTGGCTTGACGTAGTGCTGCGCACTATACTTAATATCGATAATGTGGCGCTTATTTAGAAAAAGATTATTTCGTGTGATTCGTCTCCGACACCCATGTGTTCTTCGTGTCGTCCTACGTGTTCTTTCTTAGATAGGTTTTTTTAATCAATATGACGGATTTTTGGTGCCAAA